AGCATGACAAGGGGGTGCAGACAGACGATGGACCAGCCAACAGCTCCCTGGAAGTGGATGCCCATTCTGGAGACAGGATCCACAGGTGGAGGCGGACTTCCTTTGTTTCTACTCCACCGTACCAGGTAGAGTCCCTCTAATACGACACAGATACTTATAGTAGAATTCCAGGTTTACTTTGAATTTAAATAGTCATACTGGGCCCAAGTGAACAATTTCCATTACAGAATGATGAGGCCGCTGTGTGTGCTGTACTAGAGAGTAGTGGGCAACAGCTACAAACCTTAAGCAGCAGTGCAGGTAAACTGGCCATCTGCTAACCCACAACTAAATTGAGTCAACCTCAGTGTTTCTCCCACCATTCAGGAGATGTCTTCTACTTTTATCATTAAATAAAAGACTGTCATGAACCACCCGGCAGTATCTCTAGCAACCCACAGAAACGGGATTCCCCAGGGCACGGGGTCTAAGCCCCAGTCTGCTTATCACCCCCCCACCAGGGCCCCTGATGGTGGGGATGGACTTGGAGCAGACTGAGACCAGGTCGCGACCCCTGAGTGCACCCGACTGTGTAGAGGGAACCGCCGGAGGTATGTATCGGAAGAGAGCCTGATGTGAAGAGGCTGGCAGACCTGGGCAGTGGTGACCGGATCCGTGCAGGATGGATGGATGACAGAGTACGTGTAGCGTAGTCAAGCAGGCCGGGTCGATAACAGCAGAGGCGCAGAACGGTCCAGAGCAGCAGACAGAGAGTAGTCGGGTCACATGCCAGGGTTTCAGCAACAGGAGGTCAGGTAATCAGGAGTAAGCAAAAGAATAGTCAGACGAGCCCGGGATCAGAGCAGGAGACGGTCAGCAGAGGTCAGGATCAAGCAGGGTCGGCAACAAGGTATCTCACGCAGGAACAGACGAGCAGGGAAAGGGGAATGAATGAAGACCATACGGCAATGTGAGCATTGCACGAGCTGGTTTAAATAGCCCCGGCGCCGACAGGCGCGCCTGGGTCCTAGTGCCTGCCCGACCATCATTGGTGACAGGCGCGCCTGGGTCCTAGTGCCCGCCTGCCTGTATGTCTTGTTGGGATCCTACGACTGTGCAGATTCGTGCGCCACGGTGATCTCTGGGGATTCCTGACAAAGACTTTCTGTAATAGGCAGAGTTCGAAATGGTGACCCCCCCCATCCACCCTGCCTCTACACCTCAGCCAATCAGTTTTGTATGTGGAGAGTCCTGAATGGTTGAGGAACCTTCAGACCATCTGTCTAATTCCAGCAGCAGACAGGAAGTCACCCAAGTTACTGCTGGAGCACAGCGCCACTCGCTGTATGTAGCTGATCCTACAACAGTATAGTACAGGGCGGCTGCATCCGTTAGTGATGGAAAATTGTTTTGGCCAACTTGACCCAATCTAACTAAAGTCAAAGTAAACCTGGAATTCTGCTTTAAAATGGGTCCTTTCTTAGATCTTTTTTTGAAAAGCGGGGCTTACGTAACCCTTTCACTGCTGAAGCTAATATTTTTCATTTTGCGCAACACATACTAAAATGTACATTAACAAGTTCCAGAGTTTTGGTGCCCAAAATAAACTCCTCATTGTACACACGGACGTGTGTAGCATGTCCAGTCTCTCTGCCCTGCTTCTGGGACCTCATTCCCAGCATTCGGTAAATTGTCAGCTTTGATTATGCAATGCTGGGGACGGTTGTATAAGAAGGTGTCGGCAGCTTCAGCTGTCAGCCTCATTTCTACTTCCGAGAACCCCCTTTTTTTCTTGCAATTGCCAGTGGCAACAGTTGCAACTTTCTTGCCACTTTCATACAATATTAGTCCAAGGGACTCTTAAGTTGCATTCAAGTGGCATCAAGTTGGTGCAGGAATCTTTTAAAAAAAAAACAGTTGATTGGAACAGCTACCATTGAAATGAATGGGTTTTTTCACTTGTCGTGCGACTCTGCATGTCATTAGTAACATGCCAAGTAGCACCAGTGTGAAGCGGGGTTTAAAAAAGCATCTGTGAATCTGTGTTTATAAAATAACGCTTACACAGATACGAAATCTGAAAAGATGCAATGTAACATTGTTACTTTTTGGATCTTTCTGTTCATACATCAGCAGGTCAAAGGGGATGAACTTCGATCTGCAGATGATGTCAATTTAAAGCAAAGTAAAAAAAAAGTTAAAATGCTCCCTCTGCTTCACCCTTTATTAACCCTTAGCTTACTTTAATCAGCCTAATTAACTCTTTATTTCTTCTCTCTTCAACTATTATTTTCCTGCTGATATTTTTTTCTATTCTAACTATTAATATTTAAACTGTTTTTTGTTATTTTTACACATTTCCCTTTTTTTTTTTTTTTTAAAGCACAAAATAAAAAAAAAATAAAAACATTTTAGGGTGTACATACCTTTTGCATTGCTTTTATACAATAATCATAATTTAAACAGGACAAATTCCGGAATAAAATGTGCAGCAACACTATTTATATTAAAATGAACACTTCTCTAAAAGATGTAAAAATTGCTCTGGTCGTCCATTGGAGGTGAACAGGTGTGGGAGGTGAAGTGGTCTAACCTCAAAATATTAAATCTCTTCTGAAAACAGAGACTCTGGAGCATAAAAATGGTTGTAGCTGCAGGTTTTATGCCACATGCTATTTGCCTTACTGCTAGTCAAATCTATATTATAAGTAAAAACATTTTGCTCCAATTCCTTTTAAACAATATCATCCATATATATATAATCCACAATTTTACAGTTTTCACAAGAATTGGAATGGATGGGAAAATTGTTCCATGGAACAAAAGGACTGTTCCCAGTGTCACCTGTCCAAAAGGAGAATTCCCCCCCCCACATACACTTTGAGAGGTGTTGAGTAGCAACCTCTACAGTCACTGTAAGAGAATGTGAAGGGAAAATTTCTCCCATTGGATACACTGACCGGGTTTTAATCACTCCATCTAAAGCCAAAACTTTTTTTTTTGTTTTGGGTACACTATAGGTCTGCTTAGATGTACATTTTGGTGAAAGAAGTGGTGGTGTGAATCATGAACCGCTGCTAGGTACCACTCTTTAGAGGAATAGGAAGGTTCACTTTAAAGGCTTGTCCGCCTTTGAAATGGCAAGCATTGTAATACGCTCCTGTGTCTTTCTGCATAGGCTACGTTTGCTGGAGGAATACAGAGGAGGGCTGCTGGTTCATACAGGCCCTCTGTGATGTTCTTAACCAATATGGGAAGCAGCTGGAGATGAATCATATCCTGCTTCGGGTCAACAACCTGGTGGCCACCAAATACGAGGGGAAGTTTGGCCAGAAGCAGATTCCCTGTATGGTCTCTATGTTAACCAAGGAACTTTATTTCCTAGACCTCTTACATTGTGGCTTCTCAGTGCTCCTCCGTGGTCTTACACTTTTCAGGAAAGCAAGGCAAGCTGATCTTGATAAAGTGCACATCAGGATTTATTAAACAAGGTGGTGCAAAGAAAAATGATTTGAGGCAGGGGCGGACTGACCATTTGGAAACTCGGGCAGTGCCCGAGGCCCCGGGGTCAGTAGGGGGCCCCATGAGATGCCCCTGGTACCTTTTTCATAGGCTTTTATGAGTTTGGGCAAGGACACAGGGGCCCCATGATCCCCTATTGCCCGGGGGCCCCATGAGTTGTCAGTCTGCCCCTGATTTGAGGGTATAGTCACCCTAAAGATGTGTAGTTACCTGTACAGAGGTATAGAAGCCCATACAAAGGTAGAGTTCCCTAGAAAAGCTGTAGTCACACTTAGAGGTGCAGGAGTCCATACAGTGGTGTTGGAGCCCTCCCAAGGGTGCAGTCATACAAGAGGCACAATCCCTGATACAAACATTTGGGTAGCCCATAACTGAAACGTAATAGTCCATAGAGAGGCATAGTTTGCCCAAACAACTACGTAGTAGTCTATTCATAGGTGTAAGCACCAATATAAATTAAATAACTCAAATGCTTACTATGGTGAATAAAAAACAAAAATATAAATATCAGTAACATATGAATACTGTAGCCGTGCACACAAGCCATGTCTCAGTGGGGCAAATAATAAGAAGAATAAAAGGTGAAGAAAAAATGCTGTGCCACATCAACATTGCACAATGCCTATAAATCAAGAAATGTGAACATTTAGAATATAAATACGAAAATTCCAGGGAGAATACATCCTCCTCCATCATGTATCTGCACCTCACACAGTGTGACCTCACATTGTACAATGTTACAGTCTAACTGCACTTTTGGTCCCAATTGGACTCAGAAGATCAGCTTGTTGAATGAGGACTCCAAAGTGAGCTCCCTCCTGATAAACGTCTTGGTGTCATCCGTATTCCCTCATTAAAAAGATCTCAACACAGCGCTTTATCCTTTTAAACCGTCACCATACGGACCCTGCATTTACTATATCCACTCTCTCCCCAGACCCTTCATTCACTATATCCTGTCTCCCCAGACCCTGCATTCACTGTATGCACTGTCCCTGAACCCTGCATTCACAATATCCGCTCTCCCAAACCCTGCATTCACTATATCCGCTCTTCCCCGGAACCTGTATTCACTGTCTGGTCTCCCAGGACCCTGCATTCATTATATCCGCTCTCCCTGGACCCTTCACTCACTATATCCGCTCTCCCCGTACCCCGCATTCACTAAATCTGGTCTCCCTGCACCCTGCATTCACTATATCCGCTCCCCCGGACCCCGCATTCACTATATCCGCTCTCTCCCCGGACCCCGCATTCACTATATCCACTCTCTCCCCAGACCCTGCATTCACTTAAATATCCGCTCTCCCCGGACCCCGCATTCACTATATCTGCTCTCCCCCACACCCTGCATTCACTAAATCTGGTCTCCTGGACCATGAAATTCACTATATCCACTCTCCCCGGACCCTGCATTCACTATAATCCGCTCTCCCTAGACCCCGCATTCACTAGATCTGGTCTCCCCGGACCCCGCATTCACGAATATCCGCTCTCCCCCAGACCCCGCATTCACTATATCTGCTCTCCCCACACCCTGCATTCACTAAATCTGGTCTCCCCTGGACCCTGAATTCACTATATCCACTCTCCCCGGACCCTGCATTCACAATATCCGCTCTCCCAAACCCTGCATTCACTATATCCGCTCTCCCCGGAACCTGTATTCACTGTCTGGTCTCCCAGGACCCTGCATTCATTATATCCGCTCTCCCTGGACCCTTCACTCACTATATCCGCTCTCCCCGTACCCCGCATTCACTAAATCTGGTCTCCCTGCACCCTGCATTCACTATCCGCTCTCCCCGGACCCCGCATTTCACTATATCCGCTCTCCCCGGACCCCGCATTCACTATATCCACTCTCCCCAGACCCTGCATTCACTATATCCGCTCTCCCCGGACCCCCGCATTCACTATATCTGCTCTCCCCACACCCTGCATTCACTAAATCTGGTCTCCCTGGACCATGAATTCACTATATCCACTCTCCCCGGACCCTGCATTCACTATATCCGCTCTCCCTAGACCCCGCATTCACTAGATCTGGTCTTCTCCCCGGACCCCGCATTCACTATATCCGCTCTCCCCAGACCCCGCATTCACTATATCTGCTCTCTCCCCACACCCTGCATTCACTAAATCTGGTCTCCCTGGACCCTGAATTCACTATATCCCACTCTCCCCGGACCCTGCATTCACTATATCTGCTCTCCCCGGACCCTGCATTCACTATATCCGCTCTCCCTGGACCCCGCATTCACTAGATCTGGTCTCCCCGGACCCCGCATTCACTATATCCGCTCTCCCCGGACCCCGCATTCACTATATCCGCTCTCCCCAGACCCCGCATTCACTATATCCGCTCTCCCCGGACCCCGCATTCACTATATCCGCTCTCCCCGGACCCCGCATTCACTATATCCCGCTCTCCCCGGACCCGCATTCACTATATCCTCTCTCCCCAGACCCTGCATTCACTATATCCGCTCTCCCCGGACCCTGCATTCACTATATCCGCTCTCCCCAGACCCCGCACTCACTATATCCGCTCTCCCCGGACCCCGCATTCACTATATCCGCTCTCCCCGGACCCCGCATTCACTATATCCGCTCTCCCCATACTCTGCATTCACTATATCCACTCTCCCCGGACCCTGCATTCACTATATCCGCTCTCCCCCAGACCCTGCATTCACTATATCCGCTCTCCCCGGACCCTGCATTCACTATATCCCCTCTCCTCGGACCCCGCATTCACTATATCCGCTCTCCCCGGACCCCGCATTTACTATATCCGCTCTCCCCGGACCCGGCCTTTGCTATATCTGGTCTCCCACAGTACACACAACATGCAAATGCAATTATGTGCAGCTTGCCTCCAAGGCTCTATTCTGTCGGGAGATGAAATGAACTGTGGAAAAGGGAAGGATCAGAAGACAGGATCAAACAGCCTTTTTTACACAATGCGGATGATTAACCCCTTAGGTCCCACAGTGAGTATAACAAGCACGCTTTACTGCATCTACAGACTGATTGGACTGTTGGGGGTTTAGTAACACTGTAAAGGTCTTACCATGGATGACTCCTAAAAAATATATTACCTGTAAGGTTGATTTGATGCATCAAAGTGTGTACCATCCTCACAGCTCACGTTTCCATGGTGCTCTCCTATTCACAATTCTGTCCTCCCTTCTCTTGTCTTTGGTCAAATTGTAAAATTCTATAATAATTTGCACATTGTATTCCAATGATTTCTATTCTGCTCCTATTATTCTGAACCATCTTGACGTTTGTGTTTATTTGGTGAAGATCTCACACGTTTACTTGAATTCTGTGACACGTAGTCTCTATGCACTGTGAGTAGGCTGTGTCACACAATTCACAGAGCCTGCCTTCTGAACTACAGAGGTAATGAGGAGTTCAGGAGGCGGAGTCAGTACAGGAATCACTTCTTACAGGCAGCAATGTACCATGGGATATGTAGTCCTTAGAAATGGAAGAGAAGCGCAAAGCATGCTGGGAATCCAAAAAGTTTTTGGGAAAAGAGGACCAGCGCACAGGCCGCGCTCACAACGTGAAAGGAGGTTTTTATTGGATCGTCAGATATAAACTATTATTTGTATTACTATCACAATGCCGATGGTATAAAATGGAAGTTGTCACCAGGGAGCGCCTTCCAGTGCTGCTTTCCTATAATAAAACCTCGATGATAAATATTGTGCATTGTCCTCAATCACTTGTCTTCTCTATCTTTTTGTTACCTTTTCTATCGCACCCATGGAAATGTATGTACAGGTGTTCCTCGGTTTATGAACGCCTCGGTTAACGTACTTTTCGGTTTATGAATGAAAATCCATTGAAAATAACGCCTCGGTTTGTGAATTTGTTTTCGCAGTATGAAGTGTATGTCGGTGTTGATTTTTAAATGCAATTGCCGGCTTTTTTTTTCTTCACTATGGCTCACAGAATTAGCTGTCACTTTCCCCGGAGCTAAAGGAAACATTGTTTCTTTTAACTCGGGGGGGAATAAACTAAAAACACTTTCTTTTAGCTGGGGGAGAAATTAACAGCTGAATCTCTGAGCTATAGTGAAGAAAAAAAAAAGTGGTAATTACATTTAAAAACCGGCACCATAATAAATAAAACAACAACGTGGGGTCCCCCCTCCATTCATACCAAGCCCTTAGGGTCTAATCTGGGTTTTGAGAAGAACCCCCACGCCAAAGTTTAAAAAAAAATGGTGTGGGGGCCCCCTCCCAAGATGCATATCAGACCCTTATCTGAGCATGCAGCCTGGCAGGTCAGGAAAGGAGAGGGGACAAGCAAGCGCCCCCCCCTCTCGAACCATACCAGGTCACATGCCCTCAACATGGGGGGGTGCTTTGGGGCAGGGGGGGCTCCCCTTCAAAGCAACTTGTCCCCATGTTGTTGGGGACAAGGGCCTCTTTCCCACAACCCTGGCCTGTGGTTGTGGGGGTCTGAAGGCAGGGGGCTTATCGTAATCTGGAAGCCCTCTTTAGCAAGGGGGCCCCCAGATCCTGCCACCCCCCATGTGAATGAGTATGGGGTGCATGGTACCGTTACCCATTCACAAAAAAAAAAGTGTACTGTGAATAAAAATAGGAGACAGTCTGACAAGTCCTTTATTAAACGAAGAAAAATAAAATAATGTCCCCCGAAGTAGATCCAACGTCAATCACGAAGCCTGCCGCTACCCGAAAAGGAAAAAAAAAAAAAGGCTCTGCTCCCGACGCTGGCTCCCAGCCGTCTGCCTGCTCCACTGGCTTGACAGTTCTTAAATATGTAAGGGGCAGGGCCACCCAGTGACATCACATGTGTGGCCCCACCTCCTTGTGGCGTCATCAATCGGGGCATGCTGGGTCAATGACATCACAAGGAGGTGGGGCCACACGTGTGATGTCACTGGGTGGCCCCACCCCTTATGTATTTAAGAACTGTTAAGCCAGTTCAGAGGCAGACAGCCGGGAGCCATTGTCGGGAGCAGAGCCTTTTTTTTAAATTATTTTTCCCGGTCAACGGCAGATATCGTAATTGACGTTGGATCTACTGCGGGGGACATTCTTTTAGTTTTTCTCTTTTAATAAAGGACTTGCCAAAGACCGTGTCCTGTCTTTTTTCACACTATAGTTTTTTGCTTTTTGTGAATGGGTAGCGGGACCATGTACCTCATACTCATTCACATGGGGGGCTGGATCTTGTTAAAGGGGGCTTCCAGATTCTGATAAGCACCCTGCCCGCAGACCCCCCACAACCACCAGCCAGAATTGTGGGGAAAAGGCACTATCTTGTCCCCTCCCCCCCTCCTGACCTGCCGGGCTGCATGCTCGGATAAGGGTCTGGTATGGATTTTGGGGGGGACCCCCACCCCTTTCTTTTTTTTTTTTTTTTTACATTTTGGCATGGGAGTTCCCCTCAAAATCCGTAACAGACCCAAAGTGCATGGTATAGATGGGAGGGGGGACCCCACACCTTTTTTTTTTTTTTTTTTTTAATTGTTGGCGATTCTTTCTTTTACATTCAGCTGTAAGTGGGGAACCCCGCTGACAGCTGAAACATTAACACACGGTTGTCACTACTAAAATACCACATGACTTGATAACATAACTCATGCAGTATTTTAGTAGCGTTTACTTTTTTCTGACCTCCGGAACGGATTAATTTGGTTTTCAATGCATTCCTATGGGAAACTGCGTTTTGGTTTACAAATTATTTGCTATGCAAAAAGTCCTGCAGAACGAATTAAATTCGTAAACCGAGGTATGCCTGTATTTATTTTTTACAAACCTTTTTTTTATTTTTTTTTTCCCCCAAAGAAGCTAAAAAAAAAAAATCAAGATATAAAAAAGTACAAACAAGAATAAAAAATCCCCGTGCCCATCTGAGGACATACGGATACATCTTAGGCTAGGTTTACACCTATGCAGTTTGCATTTGATCTGTTTCTACAGTGCTTTTTGTGGTGCATTTTGCGTTTTTGCCACATGCGTTTTTTACGTGTTTTGCAGGGGGTTTTTTTTCAACTTGTTGCTGGCAGATTTAAACTGAAAAACGCATAAAAATGCCACAAAAACACACTACATGGATTTCTGCAGTGTCTCCATTGAAATCTATTGAACCAAAAATGCAATGTTTTGCATTTAAAAAAACCCCCTGACTTTCGAAAAAATGCACCGGGTGAAAACGCAGACATGTGAACCTGTCCCATCTTGCAGAAATGCACAGCAGTCCATTTAATGCAACGCGAAATGCTACTGAAAACGCGTAGGTGTGAACCTAGACCTAAGGTGATTCTAAAAGCTCAAGGTTTTTTTACCTTCATGCATTCTCTTCTATATAAAAAAACTTTCTGTGTGCAGCATCTCCCCCAGCCCCCATAATACTCACCTAAGCCCCCTCTCGATCCAGTGATGTGCATTGGAGTCTCTCTCCTCATTGGCTGAGATAGAAGCAGGAGCCATTGGCTCCCACTGCTGTCAATCACAGCCAGTGAGCCAATGAGAAGAGAGAGGGGGTGGGGCCGAGCCGTGGCTCCATGTGTGAATAGACACACGGAGCAGTTGGTGCCCCCATAGTAAGCTGCTTGCTGTGGGGTCACCTGACATGAGGGAGGAGCCAGGAGCACAGGGGACCAGTGAAGAGGAGTATCCAGGCTGTTCTGTGCAAAACCACCGGACACAGCAGGTAAGTATAGACATGTTTGTTATGAAAAAAAATAAAATAAACCTTTAGAATCACTTTAAGAATGGGAAGCGGTTAATGTAAATACCAGACCCTCATCCAGGATTAGGGCATGATTCTAAATATAAAGAGTAGTCTCACATAAAAAAAAAATAAGTGCAGGGTTCTCTAACATTCATACTGGGTCCAAATCCAATGTCCATGGCATCCAAAAAGCGTCCCTTTAGGTCAGACGCGGTTTTAGACCGGCTAGAGAACAGCGATAGTAAATCAGAACCACTTGCAGAATTGAGTGATAATGATTGGTGGGGGAAATTCCTCATCAGACACTGAAAACGATTCTGCGACTGAGCTCAGCGATGTGCGAACTTGGCGCTCTATTTCATATTTCAGTGTTTTTGGTTTGATTATTTTATTGAATTACATTTATTATTATATTATTATTATTATTTTTTATGATTATTTATATAATATAATTTATGATTTCGTGTTTCAAACTTTATCCTCCCCGGGATGTTTAATAGACTCTTGTTCAGACAGATTTCAGTGAGTTATTCCTAAGAATTACAGGCCTACAATATGAGAAAAACAATTTCCATGTCAAAAAATGTACGGCTTTGACATTCAAAAATATTGATCAGTTAGACCGCCAGGGAGGTTAATGAAAAAAAAAATCAACTTTCATTAAAGCCAGGAGACGGATGGTGGGAAGCAGAAGCTGCATGTCTCCACAGTGTGATCCTAGCGGT